CTACGCCCATTTCCACACCAGGGGCATATACGGTATTTGTATCTAAAACCTAGACTAAGCCCATTTTCACACCAGGGGCATATACGGTATTTGTATCTAAAACCTAGACTAAGCCCATTTCCACAGCAGGGGCATATACGGTATTTGTATCTAAAACCTAGACTAAGCCCATTTTCACAGCAGGGGCATATATGGTATTTGTATCTAAAACCTAGACTAAGCCCATTTTCACAGCAGGGGCATATACGTATATGCCCCTGCTGTGGAAATGGGCTTAGTCTAGGTTTTAGATACAAATACCAGTATTTGTAACGTTACATTCATTTTATGCTTTTCCCTTTAAATTGTCATTTATAAAGGTGATACTGTTGTTTTTTACCGGTTGTTTTCGTAAAGACGACAGTCGTTTTACCCCACGGATATAATGTTGTTTTGTGTTTCTTACTAATAAGTGGTTTTGTGTGTGTTTCCAACAGCTTGGATAAAGTTTTTACTGTAATAATATTATCTTTGTGAATAGAACGTGTTAGATCTTTAAATTATGTTTATTGTCTACTAAACACGAGTTAGTCCAGTTACCTTCTGTCTTAAACTTACATCAATATTCTTTCCTTTAAAAAAAAAAAAAAAGTTTATCAATTCTAGTCCCTCGGTAGGTAAATTTACGGATTTGCAACGCTAAAGTCCGGGGTTCGATTCTCCGCGGTGGACACAGCAGATAGTTCAATGTGGTTTTCCTCTACACAAACGAACAATATAAACTCTAAGCAGATAAACTATCGAAACGTTGGGTCAAATACGATTTTCCTTTGAGTAATGCCCCCCAGGTGGCACAGTGGCATATCTGCGGACTTCCGCGCTAGAAACCGGGTTTCGAAGGCCATTGTGTAGCTTTGTGCTTAAACTGTAAACTACAAACAAGCAAACCTTTGAGTAGTTGAGAAGGCTAGTTTTATAAAGCATCTGACAAAATGGCTTCCATTTTAGTTTGGCTAATTGCGCATGTGCGCTATTTGCAATCAGACGGACATAAATTTAATAAATTAATTTCTCCAGAGATATAGTTAAAAACCAATAAAGAATAGGCACAACAAGATAAATAAATGTACCGAGTAATATAACGTGCTACTTGTTTTTTTTAATTAAGTAATTGGTAAGAAACATTATGTTACGTTTTGCTTCTCAACAAATGAATGATTGGTTACATTTTATTTCGTCTGTAACACGCCTAACGGTGTCTGTTACCACTAAATCTCTTTACCTAGAGTTTGAAGATCGTGTAATTCAGGCTTTCTTGTCGCAGCCCTCATTAGCTCCTACGTTATGACGATGGAACTCGACTGTAAAGTAAATGCTGTTAAATTAAGTAGGTCTGTAACACGCCTAACGGTGTCTCTTACCACTAAATCTCTTTACCTAGAGTTTGAAGATCGTGTAATTCAGGCTTTCTTGTCGCAGGCCTCATTAGCTCCTACGTTATGACGATGGAACTCGACTGTAAAGTAAATGCTGTTAAATTAAGTAGGTTTTTGTTTATCGCCCTTCGTTCTAGGCGGTACGAGTCAGCCTCTGACGTCACACACAAGTGAAAAAACTGGAAGCTAGAATTACATTTAAAAGGAACGTAAAGTATCTAATAAAATAGTTTCTTTGATTCGTTGCAGCACACGTTAAGAAACGTAGCTCGCAAGATGGGGCATGTATACCCCCTTTAAACTCTTCTGGTGGTCAGTGAACCGGATGTATTACCCCTTTAAACTTTCTGGTGGTCAGTGAACTGAATGTATTACCCCTTTAAACTTTCCTG